TCAGCAATAACGCTGTGTCTCTGCTGATCGGTTCTTTGAAACGCACAAAAATCAACAGCAATTTTGTCGAAAAATCATCTCGACTGTTGAATCCCATTTCTATAAGAAAAACTGTTCAATCTGGTACTCGACAACCACATGATTTATTGTTGATAAGCCCCACCATCGTGAACGTAAACTCGTTTCGTGTGATTCATTGTCCGGCGGGGTTATTGAACCTTATATTTTCGCAAATGAAATTCAGGAAACAGTAAGTTTAATTAATTATTAATTATTTTTTGCTGCCGCAATTGGATGGTATTGATCTGTAAAACGTTTACTTTTCTCAACGAAACCATCGATATTTTAAGGGAACAGTTTCCGCACCGTGTTATCTCTTGAAAGCGCGACCGCCATTGGGCACCGAGATCTTGTGATTTAACACCATGCGACTTTATCTTTTGGAGCCAAGTAAAAGATGAGGTCTACGCCAACAGACTCATGTAGATTCAAGACCTCAGAATTGGAATTAGTGCAACTGTTGATGGCATACAGCAGCCGATTTGGGAATTGAGGATGGAAAATTTTATAAAAAGGGTACGGTTCTGTAAGTGTAGCCACAATTGGATGGTATTGATCTGTAAAACGTTTACTTTTCTCAACGAAACCATCGATATTTTAAGGGAACAGTTTCCGCACCGTGTTATCTCCCGAAGGCGCTATCGCAATTGGGCACCGAGATCTTGTGATTTCACACAATGCGACTTTACCCTTTGGAGCCAAGTAAAAGATAAGGTTTACGCCAACAGGCTCATGTCAGTTCAGGACTTCAGAATTGGAATTAGTGCAACTGTTAATGGCATATAGCAGCCGATTTGGGAATTGGGGATGGAAAATTTTATAAAAAGGGTACGGTTCTGTAAGTGTAGCCGCAATTGGATGGTATTGATCTGTAAAACGTTTACTTTTCTCAACGAAACCATCGATATTTTAAGGGAACAGTTTCCGCACCGTGTTATCTCCCGAAGGCGCTATCGCAATTGGGTACCGAGATCTTGTGATTTCACACAATGCGACTTTATCCTTTGGAGCCAAGTAAAAGATGAGGTCTACGCCAACAGACTCACGTAGATTTAATACCTCAGAATTGGAATTAGTGAAACTGTTGATGACATACAGCAGCCGATTTGGGAATTGGGGATGGAAAATTTTATAAAAAGGGTACGGTTCTGTAAGTGTAGCCGTGGAAGTCATTTGACTGATGTTGTCTTTCTTTATTAAAAGCATATTTTCTTCTTTATACTGATATAAATATCCGAAATGCCATTTTTCTTTGAATACCAAAACACTAGCTTATATTGGAAAATCCTGTATGACGTATTTTTTCAACAAGGTTTTCTCGTTTTCGTTGCGAGAATTTCACTGTTTTTTGAATATTTTGACTATAGCTATAATACTACATCGTATTCCCTTAATTCAAATTCATTGAAAGAGACAATAGGGTCATAATTGTGACAGTTCTCAGGTTTTTAGTTTATACCTTGGTTTTCAGCGCTGCACTTTGCGAGGACAACAGATAAGGTACTCAAACTTTTATAATTTAAAAACACATTTCTTTAGAGTGTACTTTATGTGGGTTTACATTGCACATCACGTTACATTTCTCTTCCCCTCTCGCTCCATTGGGCGAAGGAAGAATGGCGATTGTCATAAAAATTGATTGCATGACCACATTGTGCTTTTGAAAATCATTAAAAAGAAGCATCTTGGTTATTACTTGAACATACTCACATTAATATTTATCAATTTACATGTGTTTGCATGTGTGCACAACAGACTGTGCTCGTCATGGCAGTTTTTGTTGGAAATTTTCCTCAAACGAATAAATTGGCTTTCGGCAAGCTGCTTAAAAATCATTAAATGGTCACTTTTGATGATCGAAAGGACAATTTCGGGTGAGACCATTTGCGGCAGCCACAACTTTTTCATTATAAAAGTGCATTTTAAGCAAAGCCACCAAACAAATTGTCGCTTACGGCCGAGTGAAGAAGTGAATGTGAGTACAAAGTGGAGCACACGCTTGCGATAAATTAAGAATAAAAGAATTCTGTAATGTAAAATAAAAAAAATTGTTAAAAAAGTGCTTTGAGTTTTTTTTTGTAGAATTTATTTACAACAGCACCATAATTCAGAAAATTTTTAAAAGAAGCGAAGGTAAAAGCGAATCACCAAAATTGCATAAAGAAAAGCAATAAAAATGGTTATGCAAATTTTGCACTCCCATCCACGCAGGATATGTACGTGTGTGGGGTTGATGACAGGCGGCAAGGAAATTTTTAATAACAAAATAAAAATTGCTTTGTTAATTTTAATATGTTCATCAATGTGGAATTCCTGTAAGTGTATTGGTGTTGAAGATAGTGGGCATAATGCTGTGTATAATAATAATAATAATAAGACGAATGTGAGTAATTTGTACGAGCAGCTGGAGATTAACATTGGAGGTGAGAATGAGGCTGTTAAAGCAATTTTTATGGGAAAAAATTATGGTCAGAGGGAAAAATTCCGCTCTTTTGCCAGCTCAACTTACAGCAAAAATAATGGAGGTGAGTTTGTTTAGAACAACAGAGAAGTTGTTAAGAAAGAGAAGGAGTGGAAAATGCGTGAAGTATATGAATTCATTTAGCTTCCTTTAAGCAAAGCTATAGATTTTTGGCTAAACTGCTTATTGAGTTGAAATAACTCAAATATTCCGCAATAGTTAGGCTATGTAAAATAGCTGAGTAAAGATCAGTGAGAGATTTTTGTGCTCCGTGGAGAGTTTTCGATTTGAGTTCGAATGAAAGTCGATTCCGAATATTATTTGCTCACTTAAGGGTTATCCATTTTGTGGTTTCAAGTATGGGGTTTCTATTAGGATATCTGTCAAACTTCACTATCAAATCAAACATATGTGTTTTGTTTTAGTTAAAAGTCAGATATATATGAAAATGGTTCACTTAAATCGCTAAAACTTTCTGAAAAATGGTCATTCGTGCTTTAAAAGTAAATTTGAAAGAAATTTAAAGATACTGAATCGGTTACAGCGAAAAACTCCTTTAAACAAAAAATATGACCAGTATGAAGTATTCAATATGAATCTTGATCTGTTTTTGTTTTTTCACCATCTCGTTAAGATTCCTTAAATTTTTAATGACTTAAAATTGTATATATTTTAATATTTTTCCAACCAAAGTGAAAGGTCTTCCACAACTGGGCTTTCATGATGAACCCAAAGAGTGACGAGTTTTCATTGATTCGTCTGAAATTAGTTTAAAAGCTGTCCTACTTCACAATGGCAATAAACATCGTTCAGTTCCTCGTGCACATATAACTAATATTAAAAGAAAATTATATATGCAAAATATTGCTTTTTTTTCATGTGAGAATGGGATAGTCGTTGAAAAGATAAATACTCCGCAATAAAAATCTGGCAACGAAGAACGCAGGCGAGGCCTGGTTTCAAGAACGTTAACGGAGAACATTTAGTTCCAAGTGAAAAATTTTTTCTTCTTCCACTCCATATAAAACGGTGTGCATAATTCCGTTAAGGCTATGAATAAGAATGGTGAAATGCCCTTCACTATCTAGAGGTTAAATTCCTCCGAATCAATGATGCAAAATAAAAATGGAATATTTTGGTTCCTCAAATACGCAAGCTCATGAACGACACAAATTTTACAATCGAACTGAGCGAACCCGAAAAAGGGCTTGGACTGTTTTCGCTGAAGTTTGCCATACTTTTAGAAGAAACAAAATAAAGAAAACTACCATTATACTGCCACCTGGGGTATAGCATGTCATTAAATATTCCACCTAACCCTGGAGTAGCTGATAACCATGATGAGAGGTTTCATCAAGATATTATGTATATAGAGAAGCGCTGCAAGGGATAGTCAAGAAAATGCTTACAGATTTTTTGTTGGCGAAACTCCAAAATGTTAGAAAAAAATTCAAAGTGAAATACTATTAATAAGTAACAAACAAATTATTATATACACTTTAATATCTTTTGTGGTCTGTCACCAACATTATGATAATATAAATATATGATTCAAATGTAATGTTAAAAAATTAATTTTTCTCAAAAACACCCTTGCGAAAAAATATACGTTAAAGAAAATTCAATAATAATGATTCATAGTTGTGCAACGGAGACAACAATTTTTTTTGCTGACCAGTGTATTTTAAGACTTGTGCATTAGCGGTTTTCTCATTCTACCTCAAATATCGCTACTGTAAGTAGAACTGTTGCACAGACCCGAATGTGTATTCTGCTCTTGAACGTACACCTGCATCCATACAAAGCCCAACTACAAACGTCCATTGGGTTTTTGAACAACTCAGGACGTGCGTAATTAAATAAAAATAAAACTGTTGCATTTGGAGCTCCAAGAAGTCTCAAGTAATTGAAGAAATGCCATTGCACCCAGAAAAACAAGTTGAATGCCTGGTGATCTGAAGGTGTGATTGCGCGTTACTTCCTTGAACGGAAAAGGGTGATGTTATTACTGTCAATTTGGAACGTTATGATCGTATGATAACCAACTTCTTTTGGCCTGCATTTTCGGAACAGGATCTGCACAACATGTAATTTCAACATGATAGTATCACATTTCACATGACACATATGGCTTTTTGATTAGAAAAATTTCCCGACCGAGAAATCGATTGGCTATCGAAATCACTCGATTTGACACTGACAGCTTTTATTTTGCGAGGCTTCGCAGAAGACAGTGTTTTTGGTGCATGAACCTTTCACTCTTGTGTACTTAGAACCAGCAATCGTGCAGTGTTGGATTAGCTACCGCCCAATGTGTACCAAAAAGTGATCGTGTGTAACCTCAGAAAATTTCCATAAAAACATCAATTTAAATATATTTTATTTATGTTTGCCATTAAAACAGCAAAATGGATAACCTTGTAAATTTAGGCATTTATATTTCTTTTGAATCTGATAAAACATGTATTTCTTCCTCCAGTACTCTTCAAGCGTGAAATGACCGAGTCTGAGCAAAGAGAATCTGCAGCGCGGTGCGCCGAAAGTGCGACGAGCGCGGAAAGTTCACGTAAAAATGAAGCAAAATACATACACCAAGAACAACGTGGTGAAGCGCAGAATGAAGTAATAGCAACAGCAACTCATTATGATAACAACATATACGTAACAACAACAACTGTGAAAAACAATGTTGAAATTAATGAGAACCAAAATGAGAAAAATAATGACAATGAAAATGTAAAGTGGCCAAAGGTTGTTGACAGCGAAATTACACCAACAACAACAATATCACCAGAGTCAGCAATAGCACTGTTTACAAAAATACCGCCAAAGAGTGCAACAGCAACAGCAGCGAACGAAGAAGAGCGCAAAGAGGCCAACGAAGCTACCAAATGCGAGACGGAGCCACCACTGGTGGATGTGACAGCCGCGTTGCAGCAGAAGTTAATTTATGAATTTGCAATTAAATACAAACTTATACCGCACGTGACGTTTTTCACGTGTCGTTGGCTGAGCAGTGGCTCGCACGGGGTGGATGGCAATTTCGGTGAACAAATGACATACTTAAATATGCAGACGCTGGAAATAATGGAACGCATGTATGGCAGCAGAAGTAGCAGCAATCTGGCAGTGGATAAAAAGAGGTCAGAAACTGGGGCATCAAAGGCAAAAAAAGCCACTACTGAGGAATCAGTGCCAGCAGAGACAACACGAAAAACGACACGTGCCAGCGGAAATTCCAACAGCAAACGTACGATCACAAGCACACAAGCAACTATACCGTTAAATGGAAATGCAACCCATAGCGGTAGAGGCAGTGATGGCGGCGCCACCAGCAGAAGCCTCGTTGGCACTCCGCTGCGGGACATTTTAATTAAAGTTGTGCATATCGATCAATTAATCAATAAACGTCCTTTCGCTGCATTTAAAAATAAAAATTCCAAAAATAATCAACAACAACAACAGCGAAACAATTGGAATGCGAAACGCACTTTTGACGGTGGATTCACCGCGGACGGCGCTCGTTTCACCGGTAATGCTGGCTCACGCAACGCGTACACAAATGCAAATTGGCTGTCCGAGGTGCTGCGCGACGTTGGCAATCGTCAGATTGTGGTGCTAAATTTGGCATGCGGCGCGGCGAGTCGTCGGTTGCTCGAAATGGTGAGTCAAAGGCAAAAAAAAAAAAAAACCAAAAACAAAAGAATATTTATTAAATTTTTTCAGAAACGACCTGCAGAGGTATGTACACGTTATGTATAGGTTATTCAGATAAAAGCAGAAAATTTTAAAGCCCGGTATGAGCAGTGTCGAATTTCGATGTAAAAAAAAGAAGTAGTGAAAAACTTTTAGTTCACATTTCTGTGAAAGTTTTCATAGATTTCGTTTTCTATATTTATTCTGCGATACTCTTTCGATTTAGAGTTATTTATTAGAATTAAATATTATTTTTTAATGCTTTTTCAGGAAATTTTCCTATTGAATTGTTTTTGGGTTTTTTATGGAACTGTTTCAGACCATCTATATTTTTTGGAAATTGTGAAAAAATTACAACAATAGTTTTGGACGGTAGACGTATGTAGCTTAATGGGATATCCATTGCTTCGTTCTCTGGGCAGCCCAGAACAAAAGTGTCTGGAAAAGAGATCTGGAAAAAGAGATCTGATGAGTAAACGTGGCGGGTTCCGAAATAGCAGTTCTACCGTCCAAAACTATTGTTGTAATTTTTTCACTATTTCCAAAAAATTATTTTTTAATATTCTCATATCATAGATTTACTAATATAATAAGTATTAATGCGATTAAATAGTGGTGAAAAGTAATAACATAGGTCACCTTGGCAAACCTGTTTAAAATATTATGAATAGTCTGGGCGTAATATTCAGAAATATAGAAATCTAGTTTAAAACTAGTTGTAATGAATCTCTTGTGAAATCAACTAAGCACTTGCTTCTGTCGGGATTACATAACACTAGTAGGAGTGTTAGCCGTTCACTGTCATATAGGCCAGCCAATGGAAGAATAGGAACTTATACAACATCTGCTGTTCGCATGCAAAAATTTGTAAAGCAAAAGTCTATGGATCACGGTTTCCTTTGAGATATCTTTCTTTTAACTTTATTGACACCACAGAGTAGTCAAGGGAGTTACCATGTATGCGAGAAAGTTGCAGTACCGGTGGTATCATACAGGGCTTCCCTAAAATCTGGGTGCATAATCAAATACCCACTCCACTTAGCTACTCACTTTTGATAGTAACAGAAATAAAATTTATTTGCAGAGTCGATGTTAGAACCCAGAGGGTACAGAAGTGTTTTCTGTCATTCGAAATATGGAATATGGTCGTTCCGGTTTCCAGCATATCGATTCGATTACAGCATATAAATGAATTTTATTCTGTCAAAATCTGGCATTACAAATAAACATATTTCTATTCCCAGAAAATTGGATAAGTATCAACAGCAGCTCGGCCGAAAAGCGCTTCAGCGGTTGAGTTTTTGGTTGCTGAGAATTTACTACTGTATTGTTGAGAAACTGTGAATGTATTGATACACTGACATAATAGAAAAGTTATGAATGAAAGTAGGGAATGAAAAAAGAAAATTGAGAAATTTTGGTAAAAGGGACAAGTGCAAGTAATGAAGAACGAAACTGTTCCAAAGAAAGAATTTAGTGGTTAAAGCTCAAAGAAGTCACTAAATTCTATTAACTTTACCAAAACTGTTATTTGTAAGTGATTTTCATGGATTTTCAAAGTGTATTTAAAACTTTCACTTTCGTAAGCAAGCTCAAGCTTATTTTAAGCTTTCCATAAATTTGTTCTGAAAATGTTTTCTCTCTAGTCGTTAAGTTCACTTAATTTCGATAGTATTTTTTTTTTTGAATCAGTATTCATACTCGATATGTACTGGAACATTACAAAACAGCAACGACAGACACTTTTTATGTAGAATAAAAATGGCAATAAAATAAACATTGAAAATCTCATTTGAGACGTTCGACTAACTTTTTCACTTCTCCACTCGCACGTGCATACAAATGTCACATTTTTCTCATTTCACCTACACAACGCATATCAAGGCATCGATCAAAGCATTATTCAACTCAACCTATCACTGGCTGCTGATGGAGGATTATACATTTAATCGGCGTACTGACAACGATGACAACGTCAACAAGAGCAATAACAACCGGAACCATTGCAACACAACGCATACCGATCAGAGTAATGAGTCAGTCGATGACAACAATAGCAATGGTGATGTTGATGATGATGTAGAAAGCGCTGTCGATAAGTTTTCCCAACGAAAGCAAAGGCAGCAGCAAGAGAATGGGAAGGTGTCTCTGCCAGCAACGGCTTTTACCAGCACCAGTGCAGCTCTTGCTACCCGCACCGCTATTGCTGCGCCCGCTACTGTCAATAATGAGGAAACGATGGAGATTATTGAAAAGTATCTGGAAAAAATCAACATCAACATAAATACTGAGTTAATATTGGCAAAACGGCACACACGGCGTATACGTGACAACGTCGATGTTGGCTGTGTTGTGAAAAGCTGTAGGACTGACAGTGAAAGCGCTACTAATAATACACTTCAAAGGACGGATTACTACCAGCTCTACGATGTTTGGTAAGTTTCTTTTTTTAATTTTCGTTATTTATTTTTTTTTATTCAATACACTTTTGAGCGCTTGTCTCGTTGCGAACGATGTAAGACACACTCTTTAAAGAGGATATGGCTGCATTCTGAAAGACACACAAAAGCTGATACCCACATCCATGCAAACTATATTTCCTGCATAACACAGTTACCCACATACATATTGGGTATTGGCAACATATGTTTTGTTATTGGCGAAACAGTTTTTTGTTTGCCATTTGTGTGACTGTTTGTGTTTTGTACTCACTCTGTTAAAATTTTATTTTTATTTTTTTTTCTCTTATGACAATCATCTTTTGTAAACTTTTGGCAGGAAATATCAAGAAACGTGTATGTGTTGTTAAAGGAAAGTTTTTCAATTTGCTGATTGGAAATTTGCTGCACTCATTCCCTTTTCTGTTTTCTTAGTGACAATGGACGGAAGAGCATGGTTGGTGAAATCTTGAATTTGAGGTTATAAAAATATTAAGAAGTGGAAAAAAATTGTTGCCGAAAGTAACACATCAACCTCAAAATTGACTGAAAATTTTTAAAATTCTGATTCGCATAAGCCACTTTCTCTCCTTCATTCACTCACTAACTCACTCACCCACTCTCTCTCTCTCTGTTTTCCACAATTTTTAACGAATTTTCTGGGTCTTGCCGTACGTTGAGGTAATTCTACTTAGTATATCTGATATGGAGATTTTATATTTAATTTTAGAACATCGATAGCTCAGCCAGGTGTTGCAAATAATAATACTGACTCTACATATAAACACTACTTCTGACCCTTGAATATTGGTTGACAGTAAATCTAATCTGTACTCCGCAATAACTCATCTTTGGCCAGAATTAAGCCAAAAGCCCACAGCCAATGTCCTCCAAACAGCCCATCAAATGCCTACGTAAAAATAATTGTGTGAAAGATTCGCCATTATCTACAGCTATACTAGCGCTTCAGTAAAGAAAAACTCAAAATGTTGCTACAATATATTATGTAAATGTTTCTTATTTGTAAACTGCCATTACTAGACAATTACACCCTTCGGCATAAAGGAGAAACTAAAATGAACTCCAATAGCAGCAAAAAAAAAAATACCCAAAAATCATTAGTGTCCAATAAAAGGCCTACTTACGAGGAAAAAAAGCAACAAAAAAGTGACTGAAATATTACGGAAATCCGCAAACAACAAAACTGTTCACAAACACAAAAATGACCGGAAATAGCTGGAAAATCTAATATTTGTTTGCACATTTGCTTAGCTCCGAATTTCTTGATAATATCGATAATATATACACACGTTTATGTAAAGATTTACTCGTTTGTTTGTATATATGTGTTTTTATTGTGTGTATTGCTCGACCACAATACACATACACAGGAATCCAGGACTACAATATGGCGGCCAATTGAACATTTCGGAAATTGGATATTTCGCACTCGATGATGGTCTACAAATTGCCCTCTGGTATCGTAGATCGACCACAATTACAAGGCGAATGAACATGAAGATGGCACGCATCCGTTGCTTGATTGTGGTAAGTGAGTGAGTAGATTTTCTTCTCAGCAGCAAATAAAAATAAATGTGACTTTGTTTGTATGAATAAGTGTAAATATAATAAAAAAATGGTGTGGAGATTTGGAAATGAACAAATCCTAGGGGGTTGAGTTAAACGTCTGCCTTAGAAAAGTTAAGGCTAGTACAGAATCAACTAGTGGAGGGTTAGTTGGGTGATGCTTCAAAAGTGAAGAATATTTTTTTTTTTTAAATATTATTAGATATTTAATGTTAATGGTTGCAAAAGAACTGGTTGAGTGTCAAATGGCAGTTAAAGAAAAAAAAATGAATTATATGAAACAATTGCGCTTACACCATTTTGATTAACGTCTATCTACAAAATAAAAATCAGTTACTTCTTAGTGGAAGTTGAATAGAAGCTCCATATAACAAAGTGTTGTAAAACGAAGAACAAGATTAAGAACATAACAACACAGCTAATCGAGTATATTGGACTATAGTAAATAGTTAAATTGTAGAATTGGAGGAGAAATTTATTATCAAACTTTTAGCTGAGAGCGTGAAAGGCCTGGCATGAAAACGTTGATATGAATGAAAAAGGTATGCAAAAACTACAGTCCTCACATACCTACATATATTACTAATACAAATGTGCATGCGAATCGATTTGTTTATTTTTTGCCCATCTGCTATTTGTATTTTATGTTGCATTGTCCTTTGATTTCCCAAGTGGAAGTGCTTTAATCTCTTGTGTTTTGGCAGTGTCCTGCGGCAAAAGGTTTACAAATTTAAGTTAGTACTTGCAAGTGACAAAGTTAAGAGTGTTATCTAGCTCAGCAACTACACAGCGAGTAGATTTTTTTTTCAGTTCTAAATTATGTGTCTCAGAGCGCTAATGTAAAGATGACAGCACACGATATGTAGTAATTCCAAAATTTAATATTAGAAAATTCAGAGTAATTTATCTGTAAACATTAATATTTAAATTGTAAGCCAAAAATTTGTTAAAACTTAAATAATAGTTTTTATGTCTTATATATCTTTTATTATTAGCCGTTGTGTTTAATTATGTTTATTTATTTTTTATTACTCATTACTTATTATTATTCATTATTTAATGTATTATTTATTATTTATTATTTATTTTTTATTATTTATTATTTATTATTTATTATTTATTATTTATTATTTATTATTTATTATTTATTATTTATTATTTATTATTTATTATTTATTATTTATTATTTATTATTTATTATTTATTATTTATTATTTATTATTTATTATTTATTATTTATTATTTATTATTTATTATTTATTATTTATTATTTATTATTTATTATTTATTATTTATTATTTATTATTTATTATTTATTATTTATTATTTATTATTTATTATTTATTATTTATTATTTATTATTTATTATTTATTATTTATTATTTATTATTTATTATTTATTATTTATTATTTATTATTTATTATTTATTATTTATTATTTATTATTTATTATTTATTATTTATTATTTATTATTTATTATTTATTATTTATTATTTATTATTTATTATTTATTATTTATTATTTATTATTTATTATTTATTATTTATTATTTATTATTTATTATTTATTATTTATTATTTATTATTTATTATTTATTATTTATTATTTATTATTTATTATTTATTATTTATTATTTATTATTTATTATTTATTATTTATTATTTATTATTTATTATTTATTATTTATTATTTATTATTTATTATTTATTATTTATTATTTATTATTTATTATTTATTATTTATTATTTATTATTTATTATTTATTATTTATTATTTATTATTTATTATTTATTATTTATTATTTATTATTTATTATTTATTATTTATTATTTATTATTTATTATTTATTATTTATTATTTATTATTTATTATTTATTATTTATTATTTATTATTTATTATTTATTATTTATTATTTATTATTTATTATTTATTATTTATTATTTATTATTTATTATTTATTATTTATTATTTATTATTTATTATTTATTATTTATTATTTATTATTTATTATTTATTATTTATTATTTATTATTTATTATTTATTATTTATTATTTATTATTTATTATTTATTATTTATTATTTATTATTTATTATTTATTATTTATTATTTATTATTTATTATTTATTATTTATTATTTATTATTTATTATTCATTATTTATTATTTAATTTTTTGTTATTTTTGTATTTTTATTAATTATGTACTATACTTGTTATTTTTTTTTCATATAATTTTGGATTTTTTATGTATTATTTTCTGCATTGCTTTTTATTATAATAATTACTGGTATTTTATAAAAAATATTTTACTGTTTTTGGAAAAATTTTAAAGTTTTTTTTGTGTCCTTATAAACATCAATTGTTTCGTCTAAAACGGTAAAATTTAATTTTATATTTTGAATTAATAAGTAAATATATTTTTTGAAATTATATATTATCATTTTTTTTTATAAAAGCAAAGAAAAGAGTCAATTTTTTTCGGTGATATCGTGAAAATGCTCCTTTTTCTTTTCGAATTTTCTTTTTACTTTTAAATTGAGGACACACTTTGAATACATAGCAACTAAAATTGAATTTCCTCATTAAGCCAATCAGTTACTCCCAAAGCAAAGCAGAATTCGGGGCTAGTTTTTTTTTTAATTTCAAACCTACCTTTTTAGGAGGATTTGTTTTTTTTTATTGTGCGTCGTACATGTACTTTCTTTTATTTTATTATTTTACCACTTTTTTCAACTTCTTTCAGGTGACAAACAAAAATTTTACCGATACTCTGGAGCATTATCTAACAACACCATATGACACGCATTTGGACTCAATGAATCGCTTCAATTTTGCTTTACTTTCCAACGTTAGGGATTTATATAATTTCAGGTTTGTTGCAAATATTCTTCTTTTACATTTTACCGTAAAATACCCCATTTTTAACATAATCGTTTATATATTCATGCACACCTCCTTCATTAAGGTCTCAGTTTAGTTTGCACATATTGATTCTAAATATTTATTTACTTTTCCCCGATAATTTCACTGATTCTGTATGGCGAGCTCTAGAGTGGGAGTAAGAACAATTGAAAGTGGCAAATGGTAAAGTAAAATACAATTTTAGTACAACAAATATATAACAGTATAAACCCAACAAATACGCTTTGTTGTCTAAATAAGCCATTAAAACATTAATTAATTGTGAAGAATATACAAATAATTAAGGCTGTCTCAGTGAGATCCTTTTGCCTTCTAATTAGAGACTGGTGAGAAGAAATATACGGCTCTCTTAGATATTTGCCTGTTATTATACCTACATCAGAAACTCCTCAGACCTCCTCAGATTTTGGTACTGTTGTTTTAGTCGTCCAATAAATATGCAAAACCGAGTGGTTCTAAGGAGGCAAACACTTAAATTTTCACTTATAAAAAAGTTCTTAAAATTATCCATTTTTTTCTTTTTTACTAAACGTTTCTCCTCTTATTAATATAATTACCATAAACACAAATTAAATAATGCAAAATTTAATCATGAGAAAAAATTTAGAAGCCCACTTATTTGAACTTGTAACCCACACATTTTACACTCCGAAACTTTTTAACTTCTTTACAGTTTTGTCATGTCAAAAACAGCCAGCTGGGGCTACCTGAAGAATGGCAAATTCGATGGCATGATAGGAGCGTTGGTACGCAAACAAGCGGATATTGGTGGTTCGCCGATTTTCTTTCGCATCGAACGTGCCAAAGTGATTGATTACACAACACGAACTTGGGTGGCCAGGTAAATGAGAGCGAAGAGGGGTAAAAATTGTTGTAAAAAAAAGAGACAACTGAGACCAAACGAACAAAAAACCAAAACAGAATAAATAAAAAAAAAAAAAACAAAAACAACTCAAGTGGTTATTGAGTGTGATAAATGATGAAATAAGTATGAGACAAGTAGAAAAGTGTGAAGGAAGCTAAGAAGGCAAGGCAGACAGTCGGTGGTTTTTTGTGGTCGAACCACTAACATAGTGAGTTTTGCTTTTTTGGCCTTTCTCTCAAGAGTGATTGACAAGCATGAAAACCGTTAGTTGTCACTGTGAAGAATTTTCACTAAAAAGTTGACATACATACGCAGCTATACGGTTATAATTATTGTACAGCTTAGAGGTGGACACTTTACATTTGTCAGACGTGATTGAAGTGTTTGTTGTTGTAGTTATTTTTTTTTATTAAAATTCTTTTTTTTTGTAAAATTTCAATAATGTTTATTACTGTATGTATTTATTGCTTGTGGTAACAATGAAAGTTTAAAAAGCAATTTGCTGAAAGCTTTGCACTTGAAAGCACAAATCTCTGTCCTCTGCGTATTGAAGGAGAAGCGTGGGGTATAAAGGACATCATGATAAAATGCATAGAATTTCATTTAAAGGCAAAACACTTACTAACATACATATTCATGTCGGCACACCTATCACCTTTGTTGCTCTCCCGTTGCGTTATCGTTGTTCTTGTGGTTTATTTAATTTCGCATATTGTAAGCTGTCAGTAGCATGAATAATGATATCTAAACCATCGACACGAGACCTGTTGGCATTTAACACTAAATTTTTCGTATATTTTTTTTATCTTCTCTTTATTTAGCTTCACCGTTATATTTGTATTGTGACAAATTGTTTTTATTGTTTGCTTTGTGTGCGTTATATATTTGTATTATTGTTGCTTGTATTGTTAACGAATGAAATGAATATTTGTAAGTTTGGCCTTTGCGATCGACAAACATAAATCGCATAGACAGTAATCGACAAGAAAAAAGTTATGAATGCCAAAAGGAGGGGCGGTAGCAATAAATATGTTATTTATGTTAAAATGATATTCCCAATTTATCGATTAAATACTCTTTTTTCACAAATTACATTTAAAATATTTATTACTTGCGCCTGTAACAGTGGGGGCGACAATTCAATACTGCCGCCTCATTTATCGCCATCTCTTTTGCTTAAGCTGGTTTGCATGCCTGTTGCTCTCTTGGGTGTGGAAAGGCCACGCCAGCTGACTTGACAGCGACTTAAGTGGCAATGAGACTGGCTTAAGAGCCTTCTTCTTTCGCATTCTTTTCGCATTTGTTTGTAGACAGATGCCAAAGGACATGGCGTTAGACATAGAAATTTGCTTCAACGTCAGCTATGACTACAACTCGCTTACTTCCATGCCATGTTTTCACGTAGAAGATTGACACATTAATTGAAACTAAATCCTGCTGGGGACATGTTTGTTGATTTAATTTCTATGTGTAAAATGAAATTTATATTTTATGGCTTTACACCTGCTGCGTGCTCGTGGCATAGTGACTATTCTAATTGCTTTTAAATATATTTATGCATATGTATTTATAGTTTGAATTATTTTACTCTCATACTTTAATCTATACACAGACCCTGCTTCATATTTCGTCATCCGCCGAGCACGAAAAAGGATCGCATTGTCTTTTTGCAACCCTTTTCAAATACTGTTTGGATTTTATTGGGATTATGTGGCATCTTTACGATATGCTTACTGTGGCTTCTGACAACGGTGGAGAGAAAGTTGGCTGCTGCGGGTGTTGTAAGGCAATTAGGTATGGGTAAATATACAGAAATTTGAAAAAAAAAATATAGATTCTGATTTACTTCACGCATAAATTTCTTAATTTTTGAAGGGTACACAGGATCTTGTGGTGTATTTGCATACAAGAAAAAACTCATTGTTGAGATTACAACCCCCCTAGTTTTCCCGTAAATCTATTTTCTCCGACTCTTTTTCTGCTACGAACTTTTAAATTTCGTTTTTATGTTGTAAATTGATTGACTGTAAAATATGTACTTATATACTGATATTAAATGAGTTCACTTGTCTTCAGGAAAGTTAGACGAAATCGCCTTCCAAACTGAGGATTTCTTAAAAATTGATTTTGCGATTTATTTAAATTTTTAATTTTATATGCGTTAAAAAATATCCAATCCGAAAAATCGTTGAATTCAAGAGTTATTTCAAATTATTGCAAGGCTTTGAAGATTTTTGTTTTGCTATAGGAAATTATTGGAACTTTTACATTAATTTTAGTATTTTTTATTTTGAAGACGAAAACGACTATTCGTGGCCGTAGAATTGTTCTCAAAGTGCGTGGAAAATAATTAAAAACAATGAAAATTTTGTAACAATATAAATAAAAGCTTTCAGATTTAAAAAGCAAACCAAAATAAAAATCAATACTTGAGGCAATGCGATATCAGTTTGGAATGTACGATCTACAGGATACCTAGAGAGCAGTGCAAAGCACAGTCAAAGGGCATTGAAAAAGGGCTAGGGAAACTTTTTAGGGATTTTTGCTGTCTGTGGGCAAATTACTGGTGATTCTATTGTCGATTAGATGACTAATATGTAAGGTGTAATGTATGCCCATCAGAGAGCTTTAATGAGTGTATTTGAGTTAATTCGATCACATCTTTCGACATTTTTGCATTAGATTGAGTTGCACACAAGCAAATGAAAGGATTGGAGACAAAAAATAAGTTACTATAAAAAGCTGCTTAAGGAAGTTAGAAAAATGCGGAGCATCGTAAAAATTGCAGAAGTTCCAAGTATGATGAGGAGAAGGAAACGATTACGAATATCTTATGCAACTGTCCTGCTTTGAGCGGTGTTAAGTTTAGGACTTTGGGAACCCTATAGTTTGATGGTCAATCAAAGATAGCCGACGTCAAAGGAATGTATCTAATGAGGCTAATTTAAGAAACAAAGTGACTGGATAATGTCATTAAAATAGGTCAGTCCTAAGTGAATGATATACGCCTTGCAACTCTTTTATACAAACACTCGTATACATTTATGTGTTCACTAAGAGTTTACAAGCACGAAATATTTCCAAAGTTTTCTGAAACTTGAGTAGAAGATGTACAAAATTCCTTTCTTTTTGAGTAATATTTTTGAGAAATTGAAAAGAGTTCAAAACTGACATGATGCCCAGGACAACAGTTGTTAAATATACATACATATATATAAGGTATACAAAATACCAAACCTATGATTTGAATATGTTCAGAAATGATCTGTTGAGCTGAATTAAGCCTTTCTGCAACCTTGCTCCAAGATTGCCTTTACAACATCGACGTCGATCACATATGGTCGCCCAGAACTTCCACTTTTTCGTACCATTTTCGGCCGAGCTCCTGCACCAAAATGCGGTATGTGGCATATAAACCGATAGCTTAGCCGCTTAGCCAGACCGACAGTACGCAATTTGAAATAAGTATATTTAGAACATAATGCTCTATACGTCCTTTTGTACTTCAATCTATTCATGTTAACCAATTAAAGTGATTCCAGCTCTCGAGTTAGAAGTTTTGAATGATCCATTGCGTGTTTTTAAATGTTTGCTGGGTTTATTAACGCTCAAAGCTAAAAACTACTAAAATTTATCTCTTTAGCTTTATCTCAGCCTTTTTCGTTTCTCATACTATATTTCTCATTTTTCTGCTTTTCCTGCTTTGTCTCTTTTCATTCGTGTCCGCGCACAATTGACTCCCTGGTGAATGCTGCGACACAAAAAGGCATACGCAACGACACACGCGGCAGCGTTAACAAAACCAACAACAAAAGCAAACAACAGCAAGCAATCGGCGTTAATGGCGAACAACAAGTACGCGACGGCTGTTCCGCATGGATGACGGTAAGTGATGGTACAATGCCATGCGACGGCGCTTACAAGAATGCATTCTCATCGCTTGGTCGTATAACAAAAGAGCAGCAACGGAAACAAAAGCTGCAAAAGTTGGTGAAACGTGACAAAAGGGAACGGCGTCAAAAGCACGAACAAAATATTAGCTTCAGGCATTGCATGCTTGGCTGCGGCAATGCGTGCTGCGGCCAAACCGGCACCGACGTGGCACAACAGCGCGTTGGTTTGTTCTTCGAGTCGCTGCTCTTCTATGTGGGTTCCATATGTCAGCAAGGTAAGGTGGCAGTGTAAGTGTGCAAGTGCAAAAGGCTGAAAGAGTGTGCAGATGAAAGAAGAGTTTGTAAAAAGCTAAATCAAGCAAGAATTTGGGTTTAAGGGCAAATAAGCCGTGCGAGTTATTGTTGAAGCTGCATATAGAGTTTGAGATGCACTTTTATTGACATGTAGCTTTCAAGTAAGTATGCGTGTGTGTGACTTGGGGCTGCCTTTGCATATGTACTTAAGTCTGCGGCTTGAAATACAATTTATGGTCCCTTAAGTTTGCTTTTCAGCTTAGTCTTTACAACTAGGTATACTTGCGCTTTTTCTCGGTTTCTTTTTCTGATCTTCAACCTTCGGATTGCAACTTTATACGTGGGTTAAGGTTGTTTGTAGACTTCAAATTTACTTGTTTAGTTTTCTAACCAAGTTTTTTTATTGTTAAAAAAACATTTTTTAAGAATTTTTTGGTGTGAAGTAAAGGATAACGATATTTCTGTAAATGATAGTGTTTTTGTATAGAAAATAATTTAATTAGCTTGGGTTGCTTTTCCGTGGAGAAGGTACGCTTTATTGATGGGGCTTATGCACCGGCTGATGGAGGTCAAATTTCATCCCATTTCTAGAAAACTATGATCGTATGAAACAATAAAATTGGGGCAATCGATTTTCACAAGCTTCTCTTGAGGCCAGTTCTTCACCAGCCCGTAGTCAATGTGTATGTTCTTCCGTTGTCCTGATGTTGTCCAATAATAAGTGTTTCGGGGCAGTTGCTGCCATCAGGCGGTACATTTTCTAAGAATATAGGTCAGTATTAAGAGTTTGATCTTGGTGGAACATCTCATAGAGCAGTGTTCCGATCATAAATCATGATGGCCAAACTTTGAATTTAAAGTGAAGGTAACCAACGAGAATGACTAGTGAGACTTATTCTAGGAGGTGGTGAATCGTGAGTTTGCTTGAGCTGCTGTAGAATCTATGTTAGAGAACTCTGTGTAGCTATGGCTTATCTTACAGAAAAAAATGCAGAAACAAGAATGATTTGAAAATCACCGTGACAAATGTTCAAGCTAAGAATTTCAGAAACAATTTTAGCTCATAAATTTATTTCTTTTTAATTTTTTTTTTGTTTATTCTGGATTTTAATTTTTTTAATTAAATTTTTTTCTCTTTGATATTCTTCATTTCCTCAATAAAGAAGTTGAATGAAAAGTTTAAGGTCAATAAAAAATATTCCGCGCGTATTCATACAATCATCTTTTGTCTTATTTTTTCTTTCATATTTGTATTTTCCGTGGTAGAAATTGCAAAATAAATACAATAATGGCAAGTGAATAAGTACGAGCGGTATTAAATGAGCTTCGAGAAATCCATTGCTTGCTGCATAATTATTTTTGGTTTTGGTTTGGAGGCATTGAATGTGAGAGTTTAGAGACAAAACTAAATGCGCACCTGGATTGCAGTCTCGCTAATTACACCAATTCACTATTTGAGTGAATATATCTCACGTAGAAACAAAATGCCCAAAAAGATCTGAAAACTATTTACTTGAGTAGGAGTAAAATTTTTAAAGATTTACTTTTAAATATAAAATGTATGTTTATATATGAATATATGCATGTGTGGTAAATTATCTGCAATTACAACATATCTCAACCATTTTCTTGCACATTTTATTTCTTTTACTATTTTTCTTCATTTCGCTTCAATAAAATTTCTTTCACGCTGACTACCTGCCGCTGTTGCTGTTGCTGTTGCTGCTGCCCTCCACAATTAGGACTCACATTTTCAACGAGTTTCTTTTCGGGTCGTTGCATTGTTATTACCAGTCTACTTTTCGCCTTCGCAATCTATCAATTCTATTCGGCTAGTATTGTGGGTACTTTATTGATGGAGAAACCGAAGACGATACGTACATTGCGTGATTTAATACACAGTTCATTGGCGGTGGGTGTGGAGGATATACCATATAATCGCGACTACTTTTTGGTAAGTTCAAGAGGAGAGAATAATGAGGGAGAGAGTTAAAGTGAAATGAAATACTTAATGAAAACTTTAAGGGGGAAACAATATCTTCCTATTTCGAAAGAATTATTAGTGATTGAAAAATCTAGCAAAATCAGTATGAAAGCAAAAAGTATAAACTTAAAATTCGAAGTGGTTAAAGGTTATCACGCGCGTGGCATAAAAATATTGACAACTTAATGCATTAACCAAATTGCAGAAATCTAATGTACATCACAAAGCATAACTTCGAAGTTCAGCTGTATTAGGTTATCTCAAAAATAGTTAATTTAGTACTGCTGCAATTTTTTTCTTGTTATTTATTATTTATTATTTATTATTTATTATTTATTATTTATTATTTATTATTTATTATTTATTATTTATTATTTATTATTTATTATTTATTATTTACTATTTATTATTTATTATTTATTATTTACTATTTATTATTAATTTTTTCTTATACAGATAATTGGCGCCTTGTAACCCCTGAAGCGGTTTTCGCCGAGCTCCTCCTCCAATTTGTGGTTTTACTTCTTGATGTTTTTCCAAAAAATGGAGGGACCTACAGTTAATACTAATCCGCCTCCGAAAGGCTGATGGTCTTTTTACGAGAAGCATTTATTTCATGTCAGAAACATTAAACATTCCTTGCGTAATTTAGATTTGTTTTTCAAGGATAAAATTTTTATGTTTGTTGATATATTGGTGCAGTTAAAGAAATCCATTATTTTTGCATTTTCGACAATTGGCCTTCCACTCCGTGAAGCATATTTTACAACAATTGGCTATTATAGTATCAGAACCATAAACGCTAATCACATTTTCACTCACCTGGCTTGCCTAATGTTAACTTTTTTCTTTGAATACTATTTTTTTTACATTTTAGCGAACCAAAGACCCAATAGCCATTGAGTTATACGCTAAGAAGGTGACCAGCGTACCGACGGACAATGATCCACTCTCTGACATGGCAGGCGAGAATGTTTCCACACTGCCGACGGTCCAACCTACTTTTCAGCTTACGGAAGCAGAAAAGGCTAAGGCATATCGAGATATTTTACATAGCCATGAGACGGGTGCACATGCCAAGACAAATGAGGCGTCCAATTGGTACGATCCGGAATATGGAGTGAAGAGAATACGTAGAGGGAGTGAGTAAAAAAAAATAAATACATAAGGAAATAAAATAAAATTAAAATCGATTAAATATACTAGTAAAAGGTTGTTAATAGTTGTTAATAGTTGTCAACAATTTTCGTCAATTTGATATATATATATTTCTATCCCCTTGAAAATGTGCTCTCATTTTTATTACGGTCCAAATTGGTGGCTTTCTAGCCACAAAACGAGCTTAAGAGAGATTTTTAAAAATGTTTTTTCGTAAATACTTCTTTTGTTGTTTTTTGTTATATTTTGCTTTTGTTATATTTGGCATCGTTATTGCAGAGTAATATGTTATATAACCGAAAGGAGAAATCAGTTACCGTAAACCGAATATTTTAAGAATAATTCCCAACGCTTTGTTGTTTTTGCTATAGATACACAGCTTTACACAAATATATAAATTGTTGCGTAATTTCCCAGTGGGAAAAATACTAGTTTTTAACTAGAATTCAACAATTTCGCTTTTTTTTTTGAAGTAATTAGCTCCAACTTCCATCTATTTCCCATGTATACCTTGAGGATTTCTAACACTGCGATGTCCCACGAGCTGTCATTTGTCTGACTATACATCAGTTCTATGCTAGTTAAATACTAGTCCACTTTGGAGTTTAAAACTTCACCGAAAATTAAAAAGGAAGAAAAAATTAATTTGCTTGCAGCAGGACTCGAACCGGCAACCGGCAGCGGTAGGTCGTTCATACAAACCTTCCTATACTTGATAAAATGCAACAGAATTTGTTCATATGTATTCACTTGCGTATTTTTATGCTCAACTCTAAGTGTGGATGTAGTGGAAAGCGCTAAACTTATATTTCCTTTATCGTACTGATTATTTATATTAGCTTTATATTAATTGTTTCTGCCTAATTGGCATGTGAGTTTTTATTTAATTTATGTAATTTAAACTGAACATTTTTTTATTTGTACTTTTTCTAATATTTTTTCCAGAGTTTGCTTTCCACGTTGATGTTGCAACAGCATATAAAATAATTGCCGACACATTTAATGAAAAGGAAATTTGCGATTTAACTGAGATTCAACTTTTTCCGCCACAAAAAATGGTCAATATTGTGCAGAAGGGTTCGCCATTACGCAAAATAATTACATATGGGTAAATATAATTTTTAATGGAATTTCATTTTGTACTTTTTTTCATATATATATCTGTGTGTCTACAAAACCTATTTATGGTGTGCATAAATTTATATGTTGGACATTATATATTACTATATATATATATATAGTATATAGTTATTGTAGTATGAAAGTATGTGGAATTATGGGTTGCATTTTTGTGTTGGAGGTATCTGCTAGTAGTGATCCTGGACGTGATTATCAATTTCATTGGAAAAATTTCACATCTGCCAACAAAAAATACTGTGCTGTAATCGTCCTTTCCAGACAACAGCTTTTGTTGGAAGCTTTGATTTGTAGAAGTTTAAAAAAATTATTGGCGACCGATAACTAAGCGGAGAGTGGTTTCAAAGCTTGAAAAGTAGAGATTTTTAGACATAGAGTGTCCTGACCACCCCAAAGGTTTGAAAGTGAGAAATTAGGTTTAAGCTATGCGAAAAGCTACATTCATACCCTTTGAACAGTGCCTGCATAAAATACGGTGAGAAAAAACCAAATCCAAATCCAAGATGATCATGTAACATAACAATGCTCGGTCCCACGTGGCGGCAACGTTCAAAAACTGTCCAGATATACTGAATTGGTAGGTTTTACTTCACCCACGATTCGGGAGTCGCCGATTCGGGTCTTTCTTCTCTTTTTAGAAATTGAGAAATTGCTTATTAATTGGATCGGAGACAAAGAGGACTCTTTTTCTGGAAAAGGTTTTTGAAAACTACTCCGCAGAGGTTGATAAAAGTAATCCTTTCCGATGGACAGTATTTGAATGAAAAATTATTTTATTTTGTTATTTTATAATTTTAATCAAGTCACACTTTTTTAATACAAAAAAAAAAAAAAAACTGACCTGTCGGGCTATTTTCAACTCCCTATAGAAAGAAGTAACCTTTCTTCATGCTGTCGCATTTTGTATATAATATTTATTTTCTCTAAAAAAACATCTCCTTTTGACAAAAATGTCCAAAGCAACAATAAAATTGAGTTAAAGTTGAAAGAGTTGCGGTTATTGCCCATTCTTAGGGAGCAGAGTTCGTCCTTCAACGAGTATGTCTTGTCCGTTCATTGTTAACAATAAACAATACACAGATGACTACAATCAATGGACAAACATGCAATCTGTTGAGGCTATAATAGCAAATACGAGTAACTCAAAAAGAAAAGAAAAAAGAAATTAAATAAAGAAAATTATGAGGGAACAAATATTCTTTTCCCGAAGCAAGCGTCTGTTTGTGTTTGTACCAGCCCGGATAAAAGCAATAGAGATATATTCAAATGACGGATTATAACTCCTCCGAGGTCCTTCTATAATTTGTCGCATGCGTCGTGATGCTTTCCAATATATGCACTGACCTAGAGTTAGCTCTAAAATGCCTCCGAATGGACGCTGGAGCTTTAATTTTCATGTGGGAAATACACTCGGAGGACTAGACATTCTCTGCAGAAGGATGTCAGCACCTAGCAAAATTTTGTTGCTATAATTTTAGATGTTGGTGGAATAAGGACTCGAACTCTAGTCTTCAGTATAGCAGCCACTTGAATAGTGCGGGCAGGTGCAATCGTATATAATAAATCAATAGACAGCATGCTAAGCTTAGCAGAAAATCAAGAAAGGTAGCCAGCAGGTAGTAGAAAATATTATGTACTATATGGGTAAATAACGGTTTGGGTTAAAAATAACTGTACTAAGGGCGTAGCTTATTTTTAGGGATTTTCACTAAAGTATATTTGCATATGAAGATGTTCGAAATTTGGAATATAACAATATTTTCGTATTTATAATCTTTGAGGTACTTTTCAATTGCTTATGAAACAGCTTTTTGGTTCAGAGGAGTTTTAAAATTTGCAGATATTATTTTTAATTTATCCAGAAAGTAAGTGTACACGGTAGCTTAGTCAGTTTTCTCCTCTTTGCATTAGGACCAATACGTTGAGATCAGCCACTCTCCAAGTGCAAAATACGTGGTATCTTTCTCTATCTCGGAAAGAGCTTCCATCTAAAATGGAAACTGCTTGAGGTGGTAAAGCTATGGGTCGTGCAAGTGTGTGCAAGTTGTGTGGCGAGTTCAATAACTATCGTATGTCTATGCATGATAAACAGGAGAGGAAGTGTAAGATCTTAAATTGCGACTGCCGGATGTTTGTAAAATGGATGGAATTGCTCGCTTTGTTTAAATTGGATGTACTGAAACGTCGCGGGGCTTCCTCTGATCTAACACCGGCAGATTACTAGCTTTTTATCTTGGTAAAGTCTTCAACAAACGATAAGGTAAGAGAGGTGGAGAGTAAGTGGACAAAGACGAAAATTGCCTGGAAAGAAATTACTTCGAAGAAGTCATAAAAAAATTGATATCTCGCTTCGTTACCCCGAAATTACTTATATTATGTATCAAAGTTTCAAGTAGCTTTTAGCTGCGATAAAAGTTTTTAAAGCTTAAAAAAAACTCAGTTTACTTACTGTCCACTTGCGCCACGTACACATGTACAAATTCCAATTATAAGTACATAAATACGTCTCAAAAGAAATTTGTCTGAAATTTCTGACACATGTGTTTAGAATTTTTGTGCGGCTGTGGTTGTGCGATAAGATTTATTACATACGTTCCTTGAAACACTGGCCAATTGTTCTGACTGAGTGAGTTGTGTACGAATCAACCATAAATACATTCACACATGTTGGTGACTATTATATTGCTATTTGACTCATATTACATAAGGCCTGGAGATATGCATAAGTGGTGTGCATGTGGGTGGTTGTGTAGAATACTTGTCATGTGCATGAAAACGGAGCTACGGACAAGAAGCACAATAAATGAATGAAATATGAGTATCCAGTTGGATATCGTATTTGTAATGAACATACACAAGTATACATATACTGTATGCAGTTTAGAATGAGCTAATAATAGCTCATATACATCTGTGTGTGCGATGCCTATTTATTAACACATATTTTTGTGTTAATTTGATACAGTAAATTTTGGTAATTATTAATTTATGCGCATAAGACTGCAGTTAAAAAAAACTTTTTGCAAAAATTAAGATTTATAATAAAACGTGTGACAGATCAGTGTTTTTTTTTGCTTTGTATCCATTTTGTATCCATTAATAATTCTAAATTTAAATACAATAAATTTTTTAAATATATTTATTCGTGTCTTTTCGTGCTTTTTCGGCCAAGTGCTTTTTCTGTGTTGGAGTCTGGCTAGCTTTATCGATCAATTTCAGCTGAGCTAAGAAGGTCCAGCTCTGATTTGAATACCAAATACAGATTTTTATTCTTTCTGAAATTGAAGTTATCGGGAGGATGTTAAAAAGTATTTTAGCTCGGATTATGGAGGTGCTTATGTTTATGGGAATGCTTTTGGCCTAAAATCCAACGCTTTATTTGATCTTTCTTATTTGGAGACTGGAATTAGTGTCGCACGGATTTATATTTTTTTTTGTTTGTTGGTTTTAGTAATTGAAGGAAGGCAGCGCCATCTTCCCAATTAAGGCAGTGGTCTCCTTTAGATCCCGAAAAAAAGTTTTATCAGAAAATTCTTTGAAAGGATATAATTGCGTTCAGCGAAATATTTGTCTTAAATAACGGTTTTTTGCATACAAAAAAATTTTTGGAAGTTTCCGATGCTGTGTGTGATCTGTTTTCTGAAACGTCTGCAGTCTGAACTCGAGAAACGGTGCCGGTATTGTAGGTCGTGCAATGCATTTGACACTATCGAACCTAATTTTATTTATTAATTATTTGTTTTTATGGATGACTCTTTTATTTATATGAATTAAAAAAAAAAACGAAAAAGTTTAAAAAGCCCAAATTTTTTTGATGTTTGAAAATAAATCACTTTTTTGAAAGAAATTTACTTTGTTAATAATAATAATTGAAATATAGTTTAAATAACACTATTTCCCGGATTTATTAGTTAAAATAAAAGATAATTTAATACTGAAGCTAGACAATTTTGAATTTTTTCTAAACGGACATATTTTTTTTTTATTTAACTCACCAGCGCTGTTTTGCAAGACTTGTAACAATTAAAAACGGACTTCAAAATTCTGTAGCAGTATCCAACTTAATCGACGTTCAACCACTAAATAATGTTGAGCAGGCTTCGTAAATTTTGAAGACATACAATTTTGGCTAGTTTAAGAAAAGATTTAAGCCTCTAAAGCAGACCATTGAGTTAAGGAGCTCAAAATTCTGAGTGCATGCCCTCCTCTCAATACTCTCATCCAAGGATGATGTCTCCTTTTGATGATTGCGTTTTATATAACAATTCCAAAATACCCGATAAGCCTTAGCCGAAATGCATATATATTAGCTGATCAAGTCAGGCCACAGAGATTTTGATCCTTGATTCTCTAAACGGAATAAGTACGACTGCCTTATAGATGATATCTCTATTTTGCTCTCAGGCATCCTGTACGAGGAGTTCGGTGGTCGCCAAACGTTAGTAAAGTACACGACATGAAAAATTGGATACTCAAAGAAGGGAACTACATAACCCATTTCACTCAAAACTAACAAACATGTCCGAAAAATTTTCAAAACTTGTCCCTTTTGCTACTGAATATCTGCATTTCATCTCCTTCCCTAGTCTAGCACTCTTGCGTACGGCGGCTGCTAAGAATTTTATTCAACTTTTAAATATTGCATTACCAAATTCGTATGTGTCACATATGGCTTTTTGGGGCTATGAAATGAGTGTGAGTTATTATTTACTCACTCACATCTATTTCAAAATATGCTTGTTTGTAAATTCCTCAATGAAATATGAATACGAATGAAAACCATACACGTTTGCTACCTGCATACCTCGGAGGTATCGGTCTATACCAACATCCAAATTATAACACAAGTGAGAAGTCCATCGTTAGCAACACAGTCTCAGGTGCAACATTTTGTTTGAAATTTATATATGTAGATGAAGCCCACATGCTTTCTATTTGGCATACGTAGGCTTGTGTGTGTGAGTTTCAGTGTGTGTAAGGCAATAAGAAGGCAATGAAAGGCGAAAATTGTTAAAATATGATTCATGTGAAATAGCTTGAGTTGGGTCGTGGAAGTTTTACCATTAAAACGCAATAAATCATTTTTCATGATTATTTTACAATTTTTCTTTTTCAATATTAACAACTTTTATTTGTAAAATATTTCTTTGCTAAATGGATTTATTTATTTTCTTGCTTAGTTTGCGTCGTGTTACCGAAACGGGTCTAATGGATTATCAGCGTAAAGTTTGGCATTCGCCGAAGCCGCGTTGTGTTAAACAAATCCATACCGATGATTTGAGGGTGAGTACAAAAGGCAGCTTGGTGAATACCTCTCCTGAATGGAGTGACATTTATTATCCTTAAAAGATTTAATTTATTGATATTTGAGCCATGAAAACTCTCGTCAAGTCTGAAAAATTAGAAAACTATAAATATGATTTCAAACCTTAAGATGATCGTTTTTTTGGGCTGCACGAAACTTTTAGAAAAGGAATTCCCACCTAGAGATTTTCTCTCAAGGTTACAGTCTCGGTTGATTGAAGTGGTTGCCGAGCATCATCAGCTCACCTACGCCCCCAGCGGGTCCATTGTGATGCAACTAGGGATCCTAACTCAAGTCTCCAAAAGATGCCACCCCTAGCGACTTCAACCAAATTCTCCAAAGGGCGGGGAGTTTACAGAGAAAGTGCATTAGAAGTCGTTAGATGGTGTGTCCAACTTGCTTGCGTGCTTGCCAAATGGAATATACCCTGTGAGAAGACCCATATCTGTAGATATCTCCATTCTTTTTAGCTCAATACGGCCATGGTGACCATCTTCCTCATATTCCTCTTTTCCATTCTGGCTACATTGGCCTGGCCCCATTACACGCACTGAGCGTGTGAGCTTACTCGTTCGTCATTTCATTACCCGGTATTTTACTGTGTCCAGGTACCCATATCTGGTTCAAAGAGAACTACTTTATTGTTTTGTCTTTTTATATAAATATATTAATATTTTTTCAGTTCTCTCACCTGCAATTATATCAAATTTGTTTCACTACTTTTCCACACCTATGCCACAGGTCGACTTACAAACCTTTGCATCAGCACTTTTGGTCCTTATCTTTGGTTATGCAGTTAGTCTACTGGCACTTAGCATCGAGATTATGCAACATAAATTATATGAACGCCATGAGCAGGAGCACGAGGAGAAGGAGGAGGAGGCTCCCGAGGATGTTGATGATGATGAGAATGTAGAGCAGGAATATGAATAAAGTTCGAAAGATGAATTCACATACATATGTTTATAACAATACCTTTATGCTTAAACGACATACTTAACGCCAGCACACGGTTGAGGAAGGCACAAGCGGCTGAAGAATTTACAGCCATGCACATTTGCATATTTGCAACTGAAACTCACTGCTACTTATATATTCACGAGAGCTCGAAAGCAGCGAACAGGTACAACAGCAGGTGTATGTTATATCATCTCAGTTGAGTTGTAAGGTGTACGTGGCAGTAAAATGCTACTGCATAAACGAGTTTATAGAAGGGTAGAGGGACACTTGGATGGCTCAAACGAATACACATTTTTACAATAAAACTAGCACAGGCACTGCTGCAGACACTAATGCAGACTCCACAAAGTGAATACTGCACTGACTGAGTTAACGTCACGGTTGGTGACATTGATGGGTTTGGACGGTGAGACAATATGGTTAATTGCAACTTTTTAGCTACACAAGACGGCTTTACATAGATAAAAAAAAACATGAACAGATGCACCAGCAGGTGGCAAAAATTCAAACTGGGTGGCATATTAATTTTATACCTGATGACTATATGGCTCACGTTTTCTAACAACGAGAAGTTTTGACAAAAAAAAAAAAAAAATAATAATAATAATATGCTTGTACTCATCATAGTTGCTAAAAATATAATTATAAAAGTAATTATTTCTCAAATTTAAGTTTTTTGTGGAATGGATTTCGTTCACACCAGCATACATATCGAATTGAGGTATCATTTGGGAATGTTAGGGGTTTTTATCTTTTCTCACTTAACACAAACCTGATGGATGATGAAAAGTGGCAAGTACCAAATTCAAACACATCTACTAATCCTTGTCTTTTATTGGGGATTTTGGACTTCTTATCCCCAGCGAATGGGCTCATAGTAACATTCCGGTGTGTTTTGTTTGGTCACTTGTCGCCTCGCACACTTACAAGTTTGGATATATCCGCTAACGCGATTTTATCCGCGGTCTTACTTCAGCAGGAGCCTATCATAACGTCCTTACTTACGATGCTTCTACATTTCGTTCCATAATTTGATTCGTCTAAAAGGATGGCTTCACCTGCAAATTGTGACCGACCTTGGAAGCCATGAAAGGTTTCAGTTCAGTCAACAATATGTTATGAACCCTGGCGTCTGCTTCTGACAGCAGCATTGATTTTTGCCTTTTTCAAATGTTCAGAATTGTGTTAAACAAACAGCTATCGCGGAAAGTTTTTATTTTCTATATTAGTTGGAGGAAAGGTATAACGATGGGCGTCGCGCGTTGTAGAAAGTTTATGGTAACTATGCGCCGATTGATTGCCCATGAAGTGTGTGATTTCCATGCTTAAAAATTTGAAAATAATAATCGAAAAAAATCGTCTTGTTGTGGAGCCAGACGAGTATACTGTACTATGAGCTGTTAACCCATACAAAACCATGCGTTCAATATGTGATCGAAGTGGTGATGAATTTAAAATATTTCCAACATTTATAATTTTTTTTAAGTCTAAAATAAAATAAGCACTATAACTTATATTCTTTTAAGCTCAAAAAGGGCTAAAGTCAATTATTTTATTGTATCAAATTTCAATAAAATTTAATTATATCGAAATAAAAGCCTAAATTTTTAGCGAGGAAAATGCTTAAGATACACAGGTGATTAGTTTTCGAAAATATTTCCAGAATTCTGTTCAGTCTTAGTGAAGCGAAATGATTTATTGTGCAACCAAAACAAATCTTATTATAATGTTACTCATACGACATGTGCACCCCCACTCAGAAACTTAATATTATATAAATAAATGCAAGGTTTGCCGTAGACACGGCTAACGCAATTTTAGCCGAATTTATAACATCGCACCATTCAATACTTTATTTCGTTGCTTGGCGCGAATTGGAAATACCGGGTAGAGCTAGGTCACCCTCTAACTGGTCTTTCCTCTTCCTCTGCTTCCACCGGCTGGTATTGAATCGAAAACTTTCAGAGCTACATTATTCTTATCGATACGTATCACATGACCTAGTACTCGTTGTTTCTTGATTCTCTGAACTATTGTATTTCAATGTCGCTGTATATGTCATACAGCTCATCGCTCCATCGACGGCGGTTTTGTCCGTTCCAAATTCTTAGGAAAAACCTTTCTTTCTAAGGCTCCTTACGCCGACTCATCAGATTTTGTCACCGTCCATGCTTCTGCGGCACAGAGCTTTTTAATTCACTCATTTGCTAGAATATCAGATTATCTATTTTCCAAGTGGCTACCAAGAGCAATGCACAGTAGCATTATGTTCCTACCATATGTTGACCGCTTAACATTCAAATGATAAATTTCTTTAGTTAAATAAATTTATTGTGCGTGATTTTCTCATTTATTTTGATTTATCACGTTAACCCTATGCATTCATTTTTTCACAAATAACATTTGTCTTTTTTTTTTTTTGTTGCTTTTTTTGCGTAGCGGACGCAGCTCAATTCTGTTCACGTTGGACAATGAAGAATGAGTTATATCCATTGAATTACTGTGTGGATAGTAGAATGCTGTTGCCTGGAGAGAGCGATATTTTATTTAATTCACATATATATATTTCTGTGCATTTATTGGTAACTCAATGGGTTCAACCAACCGCAATGCCACTGAAGCTAGTTTTACAGACATTAAGCATACAAACATGGCTTTTACTTAGAATGCGTGCGACACATATCAATTTATTTCGACCCAACTCAATTTGCCAGAATATACTGACCATTTGCCTGTTCATTTATTTGCTAAGTTACATTGAAATATCTTTTACGGTTCGGAAAAGGACACATAATAAATTTAACGAAATTCAAATGAAGCAAAACTACACCATAAGGATTAAAAGAGTCATGATATCATGAGCTGAATATTTTTCGTGTTCTTAGACACTTTTTAATACACGTTCAAAGCTTAATATTACACAAAATCAAGCAAACATTTATATAATATGAAATTGAAATATTCAGAGTTATAAACTCTATTAGCAACCCTACACTCACGTTAAATATTATTACAGATCTTTCATTTTGGTATAACAACAGTAAAGGTGACTTCGGTTTACTTTTTAACAATTTAAATTTTGGAGTACTCATGGCGCCTTTTTGATGATTCTGGACATCTAACGCGAAAAATAAACATAGCTTAAGCCAGTCGTCAATCAAAATAATTTCAATTTTTTTTTAATATATAATTCTGATATACGTCACCTAAGATCCCACTACAAAAAAAAAAAAAATAAATAGTTTTGTTTCAATTTCGTATAAAAAAATAATGGAAACAAAACAAAATACCTAATTCGTATTGTCTACAGTGATTATAGGCTTATAACTTGCGAAGAAAATGCAAATCAAAATCAAAGCAATTGCAGAATAGCTTTACGTATTGGCAGATTGCATCAGCAGGCGAAAACTGAAAAAAAGTCAACAAAATTTGACTGTATAGCTAAAACTAATTTAAAAAACTGTGACTTAAGCAGCCGGAAAATGAGTTAGCCTAACGAGAACAGCTGCTGAAAAACCTAAAGTGGCAGTAGCTGCAACAGCAACTGCAACAGCGTCCGTTAAGTCGACAGCTGTTAGAAATATATTAAGCTGCTCGCTGGATCATGGAAGACTCAAAAAACTGACTGGTGAAAAGCGGCTTAAATTTTATTAAAATAATAAAATTATACGCAGTAAAAAGCAAGAGAGTAATGCAAAAAACCAAAAAAAAAACAAATGAAACCAACAACTAGAAGAAACAACAAAGTCTCTGTTAATATATTTATATTTTATATAAAATAAGCTCACTAGTTTTAATGAGAATGATTTTTCCACTGGTAATTGCATATGTACAACTGTAAAGCATAGAAAATGATTAAACATTTTGTTTTCAAGTTAAACTGTTTGTCTCTAAGTTTTCATTTGTACGTAAGTAAAACCTTACATTATCTTCTCATCATAGTTTTCAATGAGTTAAATTGCAAAGATTCTATATGCGTGCAATTGACTTGGGAGCAAGTATGCTCATAAATGCAGCACGAAATTTCCAGCAGCTTTTACGGCAAGGTATTCGAAGCTTGGAACAAACGGAAAACAAGTAAGGAAAACAGGTAAGGATGTGCTTATTGCGCAAAACCATATAATTTCGATTCTAGATTTGCTGACAACAGTTGCGAATTTGTTAACATTAAAATTTCGACTATTTCTGAAAGGGAAGCTAAAATCCCATATCATAAAACTCGAAACTGTTATAAAAAACTTAAGTAATTCACTAACGAAACAATGTCTTTTTTTTTTAAGTTCGAAAAATAAACTTTACGAAATGATTTTCTTTCATTGCGACTTCGTTCTAGCGAATTAATACTGAGCTGCCATGACACTAACAGTGCACATCAATTTGAGCGTTTAACATTATCTGTTAACGACTTAACATTAACGTCAACTTTTTGTTTCGGCTAAAAACGAATAGAAATTCATTTTGATAACTGCATTAACGATAACACTTTCAAATGCTTTGATCGAATCAATTTAATTTTATAATTAAATGAAAAAAGAAGCATTTTTTCGTTCTAGCGGTAAGTAATATGAATCAATGTAATAAGCCTCTAGAGCTCCGGTTAAAGAAATTCCCAAGCCAGCAGAGTACGCTACTCGCAAGTGTAGTCTCTGACATAGAATAAAATACTGTAAATATTATATAATAATTATGTGCAACACTTAGAGAGAGATGGTGAAAAAATATGTACAGCAGATAGTGTGTTACACAGCTTACTTTTAAGTGAAACAGCTACAACTTATACAATTTTATGTGCTCAAATACTCATGCGAACAGCATATTATGCACATTCTTCTATGACTCCATTTGCTTGGCATTTTAGCATCATTTGTAGAATTTAATTAAATCCAGTTAATGCAGTTCCACAACTAAATTAGCATACACAATATCCAAGAATGGCAGAAATTTAGTCAAATATGATTTTCATCTTGATTTCATGAAAAAGTCATCAGTTCCAATAAAGTTTAAGACTATACACCACATCAAATGATTGCTTTCTTTTCAAGTATTGGGTCCAGTAAAAACTTCCTTCGGCTTTTTTTCTAAGAGATGGCGTTATTGTCCATTGTACTAGTGTTACGTAACGCGTCATGTCATTCTATGCGGCGCTGAAAACGTGATTATTCGCGCTAAAAGTTTGTATTGGACAGTTTTTCGATTGATTGACTTAGTACGTTGTGAGCGCTCGTCAAAGGCGAAAAAGCAGCCAAAGCGGCTG